TGCACAGAAATCAGGAAAAACAGTTTCTCAGTTGTTTGTGTGGATGTTACACTGACTTTGAGGGTGGAAAACACTCAGCACTTCCAATAGCTCTCTCTGCCCTCAACCGGACAGGTCCCGTGGGTCTGCCCAGGGTTTCACAGAAAACGTGACGTGCTGTTTAATCAGTTAAAAAATCGACACGGGGGGGGACAGTCCCAGAAAATCTAGTGGCTTAGTAATCAAACTCTTCTTTTTTTCTGCAGTTTGTTCAGCTCTGCTTTACAAAAGGTTTTTGAAGACTGTCCTACTGCCCTCTGTGGGCTTTACTGAAAAGTACCTTAAATAACCCTTCAGGCATGTGTTGGGAGCAGGAGTCCCTCAGAAACTTTCTCTTCTCTTGTGTCCATGTGCTGAATCTGATTATTAAAATGATGTCTTAATTTAACGAGGCCAACTGTACCCCCGCTGTGCCTGCCAATGCAATAAGAAGCCTAAGAGAAGGCATCTGTAATGGTTGTTGCGGCTTGCTTGCTCTGAAAGCCAGTGAGACATAAACTTGTCTCCAAAGAAATAGACAGATGGAAGCATAAGCAACGAGTTAGGAAGGAAGATCCTGGTACATATAAGATCCTGCCTTAGTTTCGGTTTAGGTGGTTTATTTTGGTCATCATTTTGTGGTTTCCAGTGGCTGGGCTGAGGGTTTTTGCAGGAGGATTGAGTGGATAATCAATCTTACTGATACAATTTACATCAAAAAACTTGTGAAGCAGAAAGAGGGTTTTCCACCAACTTCTCTATGATGGTCAGTTTTTAAAGAATGGAAATATAAATGCTGCTTGACGGCTTCAGCTGCCCAGTGCCCCTTGGCAGTCTTGGTGCTACGATGCAGAACAGACAGTGCCTGGGGGTTGTCTTCCGCACCATCCCTGGCCAGGGCATCAGCTTAGATCCAGAGAAACTAGCAGAATTAAGGGAGTTTCAATTTGTTGTGGTTTGCCCAATAACATGGCAAAATCTCTCATTTATTTATACTGTCTACCAAACTAGGGAGATGTAAGAATGTTTTAGTCTCAATGGGCTATTTGGACTTTAATTTCTAAGCTGCAATTATTGCAAAGAATTTTTACCAGCATCATCTCTTAGGAACTAAGCCTGAGAGCACTCAACTCATCTGACTCCAAGTCAATATGGAAACAGGCATCAGATGGTTGTGGTTCCACTTACAGTGCTGCTGGGCTTTTAAGCAAAGTGCTGCCAGCAGTCACTATCACGTAGAATCATAGAATCGTTTAGGTTGGAGGAGACCATTAACATCATCGAGTCCAGCCATTAACCTAACACTGCCAAGTCCATCACTAAACCACGTCCCTAAGCTCCTCATCTACACGTCTTTACCTCCAGGGATGGTGCCTCAAACGCTTCCCTGGGCAGCCTATTCCAAAGCTTTACAACTCTTTCAGTGAAGAAATTTTTCCTAATATTCAATCGAAACCTCTCCTGGTGCAACTTGAGGCCATTTCCCCTTGTCCTATCACTAGTTACTTGGGAGAAGAGACCAACACCCACCTCGCTACAACCTCCTTTCAGGTAGCTGTAGAGAGCAATAAGGTCCCCCCTCAGCCTCCTCTTCTCCAGACTAAACAGCCCCAGTTCCTTCAGCTGCTCCTCGTAAGACTT